TGCTAAAGATATGGTTCCCATTTACACAGTGGAAAAGCCGGGCTCGAAACAAAATAAAAGCAAAACTTGTTTTGAATAATTTGTTTTTAAGAAGGAAAAAAAATAAAATCGATTAAAATCGTAAATCAGGTTTGGTGTGAAAAAGTCGGATATTTTATTTTTAAGCCATATCGCCGAGCCCTACTTCAACATGTGAACCATGCTTAGCTTTCACTGCTGGGGGGGGATCTTGAGCCATCGCTTTGTCCTGAGCTATGTTTTATACAACACACCCACCTGTTGTAGCATCTCCTCGGTGGCATTGAGTTTCTCCCTGTGCTCGTCCAAACACAAGTCCAGGTCTCGGATCTTCTCTCCCTGAGCCTCCACCTGGTCTGTCAGCACACTCACCTGCAGCCAACCAAGAAGTCACTCCTTTATTTCTAAGATAAATATACATTTTTATTAAAGACGTGCGTAAGCTGGATAGGCACCTGAAGAACCAGAGACTCCTTATCACTCTCTATTCGGGAAAGCCTTTCCTGGTAGTGGTCAGCCCCACTCAGATTAATGTGCCCGTTGGACTGCAGGGACAGAAGAAAATATGGATTAGACAAAGAACCGAGGAAGAGGAAGCGATCCTTGACTGACAGCCTGGCTACACTGCTTTACCCTGCACAAACAAAACCTTACATGGCTGAGAGGAGGCTCACATTCAGACCGCTGTACGCAGAGTGAGTTACAGCATTACACAAAAGCTCTGGCATTTATCTGGCCTGCAGCCCATCGCTCTCCCAGACTCCACTCTGGTTCCCAAGAAGTCAGCATGTTCCTTGCAGCACACTGGCTGCGACACTGACAACAGCAGCATTTCATCTTTCATTCCCAGGGAACTCGGCAGAGGAGGACAGTCACGTTTCTGCTTAGCAAACGAGTCGGCTGTGTACTTTCACACAGGACTGTTTGCCCACGCTTGTCTGCATTCATCGAGTTTTAACACAGCAAACCAGATGTGCTGGAGCTCATTTGGAGCACATTCTGTCAAACCATCACAGACAAAACCCCTTTCATGGTTACACAACTTAAATTGATTCAGACATGAATGTTATTTCCTTCACCAACTATATTGAGGGTGAAATGAGTAGACTGTCAAAGCCTCTAAAAGAACCAGAGGCCTCTATGTTAGATGTAGTTTAGATCATGTAAATGTGTTTCAGTTATTACACTAAAAGATTAGTAATGAAAAATCACGTTTAATGTCTTCAACGTGGTTTTATTTTACAGATCTTCGGGGTCTCGTGCAGCACGTATGCATCTTTTCTACATGTAAAGCTCTCACCAGGTGACCGTGGAGCCACTCCACCAGACTGTCAGCTGTGGAGTCGGGGATCTGGCAGCGTAGACTCTCCCTTTCCTCGGTGTCCATCATCTCCAGGACACTCCTCAGGTCTTCCAGCAGGTGAAGTGCCCGCAGGCTGCCCATGAAGGGAGAGGTGGGCGACTGGCAGTCAAACAGCCCATTGGAGTAGTCCAGAGCCTTCGAGCCTGAGATAAAGAAACAGAGGGACACGTTAAAAGAGGAGCTACAATTCAAAGAAAGACACAGATGTGCACTCACATACTTGAGACTCTAACTCTTTTTAATGTATCACTTTTAATATCACAGGCTGAACTGAAGTGAGTTCTTACAACGCCTCATCCAATGTTCCTTTGCAACAATACAGCATGGGAAGTGATTTCAAATGGATCCTTTTGATGCACAATACAAGTTGGTGAATGTGACTAAAAGCCACAAAGCCTAATTTAGCACAGAATAAATGTTAAACCCTCTGAGAAACAAGGAGCTCCAGGCATCCTGTGACATCTATGTATCTGAAATGTCACAAACCATAACAAGACACTAGACTCCATCAGCGTTGACTCAAAGTGTTTTAAATCAGACACTTTTTATGGTTTTATGTTTTCAAAAATCTGAATATACCGCCCTATTACAGTATCGCATTATATCACAGTCCTTCCAGAAAAATGCAGTTTTTTTGTGATTGTTGCGGGCAAAAATCCTTGATTATGCGGCACGTTTTCTTAAAAAATGCGATGGAATATGCGGCATATTTATGCAATTTTATGCGATGACAT